AGACAGAGACAGACAAAAAGAGTAAAAAGAAAAAGTTTAAAAAAAAGGTATATGTAATATTTTCAAAAAGGCTCCACTTAAAACAGGGCAATGTGAAACTTCTCTTCTTCTCTTTGGAGTAGGAGGAACAAACTGTGTGGTGTTATTCTCAGATTTGGAAAAAGTAAATTAACAAACTGGCACCAACTCGTTTTCAAAAGTGCAAACCCAGGAATGAGTGCCAAGTTTAGAGTACATCTGAGAGCAGTGCACACCAGTTCCTCCTTCCCCAGAGGGATTGTGGGAATGACACGTTTCATGACGGATCAATGGAAGTTTGCCATTAATAATCCTATCACCACACAGCATTGAACAGGCCCACCAACCTGCCTGGAATATCAATCACTCCACAGCGCACCAGGAGCAGATCAGCTGAGTATATATAGGGTTAGTAGTACAATCATGAGAGACAAACAATACACAACTCTGTCATTTGCAGTTGTCATGTTACACCACAAACCTTTTGGGTGCAGTCCCATGGCACCAGAGTCTGTGAATGTGAGAGTTTGGCAAGACTGGTCTGATATACGTATGAAAAGCATGCATAGATTAATCCAGCTAAGACCAGAAAAGGAGGAGCTGAGAGATCCGATGTAAACAAACGATGCAGTGGAAATAAAGAGCCAAAAATGAAGGGAGCTGCTATACTTAAAGATTAACACTATAGCAAGGTCATCCATTGTAATCAATAAATCGGAATGAAATTGAGTTGAATGTTATAGCTATTTTTCGTCATTGCCACTCAGGCCTTGACAAAATGTCAAAAAAGCTTATAGTTATCGCTGTTTGACACATATTGTTTAGTGTGTGTGTGTATGCGTATGTTTAAGATTGGGACATTTGCTATGGGATGTGATAACTATGTGCAAATTTACATAAGTATTTTAGGGGAATGATTCTGTATCAGACCAGTGCTGGACATGTGCTATGGCTCAAAGACAGTCAGCTCTACTCACTCTCCTGTGTTAGTGTTCCATTTACCGACCGTTTGTTGCTGTTACTCAATGTGACCACCGAGGGGCACTAAAGTCACATACTTAGATCCAATGACAGCCGTTTGGTCAAGGTTAAAAAGAGGCAGATGTGTTTCAACAAAGCTTGCTTTAAATACTTTCAAACTATCAGGTTAAATAAATGATAAAACAAAAGACGTCTTTCTTTCTAAACCTTTAAATTAGACTGCAATTAATTGAAAGCCTGTACAACCTGGATCTAATAGTAGGTGTATTACAAATCCTGTATGATGTGATGACAGGGCAGGGGCTTGTAGAGGAGCTCTTTGGAAATAGGTCTAATAAGCCAAATTATCACCCAATCAGGTGCGGTCACGTCCCCTCATCCCATTACAGCTGCTCTCAACTCTGATCATTCAAATCAAGGCTAATCCAATCAGACAGGCAGCTGTTGGTCTGAAGCAGAAGATGGATTCATTACAGCCTAATATGAAGTCACTTTAACTCAAAATATGAAGGCACAGTTGCAAAATTTCGAATGTTAACATGTGCTTTTCAAGTCAATCATCATATGTCCTTCAGTGCACTTTTTTCACCAAAAAATTTGTAAAATGGGGAATCTAGACTTGGCAAGGACAAGCTGTGAAAAGTATGAGATTTCTAGCCTAGTTTCTCAAGGCTCCAAGATGAATCGGATGGAGCTCCACAGAATCTATAAAGACACAGAGCCAACGTCTTGGCAGGAGCAGTGGGAGCTGGCACGGTTTTCTTGTGATGGGAGCAGCACAAGAATTGTTTGGCAGAACGTCGGTGGAAATAATTAATGTCATTCTGAAGGCCTTTGAAAGAAGAATTAAAGGTGAACACTTCAATGACAATGCTTGTTTTAACCTTGACCAACACACACAGAGCAGACATAATATTAGGACTATGTGCTGTGCCCTGAAACTAATTTAATTACATTTTTAAAATATCTGACACTGCAAAACTACACTTTGACCTATAGTGCAAACATTTCCAAACTAACCCCCTTACTATAAAATATGAATATATATATAATCTGTGTTGCTCAATCCAGCTGTCAGTTGTCCCAATGTTATGCCTAATTTATTCAAATCACTCCAGGGTGTTTTGCAAAATGTCTGGCCAGCAACACTCTGCTCCAGTTTCCAAGTTTGAGTCAGAAGAATGGTTGCAGTTGTTGGGTTTCCATAACTACAGTTTCATCCAGAAATGGTACTGAGCAGAGCTGGAATAGTCCAAGAATTAAGTGAGTAATGAAGTTAGGAATCAATGTCTTCAGGGAACCTGGGTCACCCCTTTGATATTATAAATCTCCGCTGTCCCAGCTGATGCTTGTTCATATCATATTATAACAACACGAAGCACTCATTCTACGTGTCTACTACCACACAACCATAATCCAGTCTAGTTTAGTCTACTGTGAACAGGAAAATGGAGGTAAAGAAAAGTGCAGAAGTAAGTAGCAAAATATTAATCCAAATGAAAGACACCCTCATCTAGCGCATTACATCTGTGACTGATGTTTACACGATTACACCATCGACGATCACTACAGACATTCTCACTGTCTTCTAAACCTAATACAGAAGTACAGGGATGGAGAGACAGAGGAGATCATTTAGCCAAAGTCCATGAAGCTCACGTTCTGTTCTCAGCACTATCAGAAACTGTAGATACAACCATTTTGTTTCTCTGTTAAATAGGATGTGAATGTTTAAAAGTTGATAAATATATGCAAGATTCATAAAGCCTCTTGCAATGATCTACATCTGAAATTTTATAGTGTGATTTAGTAGTTAAAAGAATGGTCTCAAAAAGTGAGTGTCTATGTGCAAAATGAAGCCCCAGTGCCCTGGAAATCAAGAATTGACCCTTCTCACACACTTCTTCATACATTAACATATGACACAACTTCTTTTCAAACACGTTCTTAGATCTACACTCTGAAATGGACTAATTCCACCATATCTCACTAATTTAATAATGCTATATTTAGTGCCACATGTATACACTTACAGAATATAGAATGTTTAGCAGCAAATATTTCCAATTTTCATGAGCAACCAATGAAAAATACCAAATGCTACAATCACCACAGTTAATCAAAAATGAATATCTGTCTGCATTTCATGTGATAAAAGTGTTAATTTGCTAAATATAGTAGTAGTTCATACATTTTTAAGCAAGTTTTTACTTTTGTTTGTAGGCATTCATAAACCAGTGTTCTACGCACATGCGCACCTGACAAGTGTTGAGAACAGATCAGTGCCACATAGAAGACAACAGCTGAATAGTTAAAAGGTAGCAGAGAACAACAACTCCAAAAAACAAAATCAAAGACAAACAAGAAGCAACAAAACACAACTCTTTAGTCGTTTTTTGATGAAAAATCACAGTACTACTCTCCACTGTACAATGCACATGGCGTGGGTAGGGTTACACGACTTCATTTACATTGAATTCTTGGTCTCCAGCCAGGGACCCCTCCCAAAGGAGGACCCAGTGGGGGCATGTGGGAATGGGGTGAGTAGGGGGATGCACTGGGCTAGGGGGGCAGAGACATTTGCACACCGACCGCCTCAGAGACAGACAGCAGACACTGTTTCAGTCTATCCAAATGTGGTAACAAACATTTGTATTTATATATAGTGTAAGAATTTGTGAGTGTATGGACCACAACTATATGTAGCCCAAAGACAGCACATGGTCTTTTAGTCTTCATGACAGATGGCAGTAGCAATAATCATTATATAACAAAATCATGCACAATCTACTTTAGAAAAAATACTTATACATACTATGGCTTTCGGTGTCACAAATAAACACATTTCTCTAGGAAATTTTGGTTTTATGGCTCTACATAGAGTATTGCTGGAATGTAGTCTACCAGAGTAACAAATAGACTCTGTGGCTAGTGACTTCACCTTTCCTGAGAAAAGGGTCTTGAATGTGTGTGGTGTACTGTGTGCTGGAATGGTTGTGTACATAAGACTGAGCACAATCACCTGTCTGCCTCTGAGCGGGCCCAACGCTCCGCACTGCTCCCCCTGGGCAGTGCTGAAGGTCAGGCATTGACCAGCACAGAGGAGGGAGGGACCGGGGCCACACTGGGGCTCTCCTGTTGATGAAAGGCCACGATCTAGGTTTGTGATTGAGGCGACTGAAAGGAGAGGTCACACTGACTTCTTTGTTCCTCTCAAACTCTTTTACATTGAACTCTCGTGTGACCACCAGACAAACCCCTCTCTCTCCTCTATTCTGGTTACTATGGTTACCATAGCAGTCCATGTCCAATGGGCGTCTCACCAAAGCCACTGGGACATGGGCAGTCATGGATGTCGGCCAGTGCACTCGTCCCAAACGCACACAGCAAATGTTGCAATGCTCGAACAAGACATGCCAAATTATGTTGCTTTTTTTACATGCAAGATGCATTTAAAAGTGACCCGGCACAACCTTCCTTACTGTTGAGCTGTGGTCAGAATAAAAAAAAGCTTGCCAGTATTCTACAATGTGTTTTATTGTGTGAATTGTACAACTTAACTACAGAGCTACATGCATATGGCTTGTAACAAGGCAGACATTGAAAGATGAGAGCTACAAGTATGAGTTATGGATGATAAACTAAGTCCTCCCACTAAGGCTTTCTTTTGGTAAAAAGAAGACTGAATGAAAGAATATATGATGAATGGCAACAACTCATGCCAATTTCTATTAAAACTCTTAATAACAGCTTTATTCTTACCAAATACACAAAATTCAAACTGCATCTACCACAGCAAGGCAGAAAGATCAGGGTCATTCTTTACAATTAAATCAATTTGAGTCATGGCTGCTTTTTGGTGACTTCCAATGACTAAACCGAGCCATGACTGCAACATTTCAGACTTGTTTTGAAGTTGTGGGCTGTGTGGGTTTGTGTGTATCAAACACGTTTATGGGACGTGCTCATGCCTCCCCCGAAGGACCCCTGGCTGCGTTGTTTCATATCATTTTCATATTAAACTTCCTGGTCCCTCCTGAGGCGCCAGAGGTGGCAGGCTCAGATTTCCTGAAAGAGTACTCCACTGTGAAGTTATTCCTTCGTTGGCCACGGCCCCGGCTCCAAACAAACAGCAGCAGAAAGCAGAAAAGCACAACTCCCAGGAAAGTGATGCAGCCCATTGCTGTGGAGACCAAGATGGTGGTCAGATCCAAGGTGAATTTGAGAAACACTCGGGTGCTGTTCATATTAGTATCATTGAAGAACTCTCCGCTGTAGATTGAGCGGTTGAGGAAAAAGGCTGAGGCGGCATCCAGCGGCTGGCCCCGGACTGTGAGTGTGGCGAAGTAGGTGTCATTGCCCCCAGCGTTGCTGGCGATGCAGATGTACGTGCCGCTGTCCGTGAGCTGGGCGTAGCGAATCTCCAGGGTGCCACTGGGGAGAACAGTGATGCGGCCTGAAGTCTTGGATGTGATTCGTCTGCGCTGAGGGGAAATCCACACTATGGCAGGCGGTGGTTCTCCTTCAGCCCGACAGAGGAAACTGACTGGCTGTCCTTCACGAGCAATGACCTGAGACAGAGCGAATAAAGAAACACAGAGGATATAAGACTTGTCTTATCTGACACATATACTGTATGTGTAGAAGCTGTACTTACAGAAGTCAATTATGATTTTTAAATCTGTACAATACAATACATGCAAAAAGTACCATTGCCTTTTCTGTTATTCTAATGATGTTTCTAAATATATACAAGCACTTGAATACCTGCTGCATTTTGCGGTTGCGTATCTTGGGCTTCTGACAGGTGAAGTGATCAAACAGAGCAGAGTCGGTGAAGGAGCTGAGGCTGACGCCCTGCACCTCCACCGGCCCCGTACAAACCGGCACCCTGTCGTCAAAGTTGAGGGTCTTGCGTCGCTGCAGGATCCACAACAGACGGCAGTCGCACTGCAGAGGGTTCCCATCCACTCGTAATGTCTCCAAGCTGTTGACCGAGTGAAAGGAGCTCTCTTCCAGAGTCTGCAGGTGATTGGACGAGAAGTTTAGGACTCGGATCTGCCGCAGACCACCCAGAGCGTGATGCTCCACTGTGGTCAGCCCAGTGTTCACCATGATCAGTTCTTTTAGCCTCAGCAGGTCTCTGAAGGCCCAGGACTCCAGAGTGGAGATGGGGTTGTATGACAGGTTTAAATGTGTCAAGTGAATCAGATTTTTGAAAGAGGCAGATGGGACAGATGTGATGTTGGTGTGAGTGATGGAGAGCCAGTGCAGATCGAGGCCCTGGAAACTCAGAGGAGAGATAAACTCGAGGTAGGGCCAGTGATTGATCTCCAGGCCACGCAGGTTGGACAGTTTGCGGAAGTTCTGGTCTTCTAAGGCGGAGATGCTGAGGTGATGAAGGCGGAGGGTCACCAGGCTGCGAAGATAGGACAGTGTCTGGCCTGCGATGGAGGTCAAGTTACAGCGTGCTATAGTGAGCTCCTCTAGCCCCACCAACCCAGCAAAGGCCTGCACATAAGGAACATATTAGTAAAGGATATGAAGTGAGTACTGTTGTGATGTTATTACAATGGTATAATTACCATTGAGACCTACCTTGTGAGAAATGTACACTAGATCATTGTCTCCTACTTCAAGATGTTTCAGACTTTTAAGGTCTTGAAAGGTGTAGTCGAGTAAAATCACCATTTTGTTCTCACTCAGATCAAGACTGGTTAGGTTGCCCAGCTTGGCAAAGGCTCCCATTGGCACTAGCTTAAGCTGGTTTCCTCTGAGCTTGAGCACTTTGAGATTGATCAGGGTGGCAAAAGCATTAGGCTCCAGTGTGGCAATAAGGTTTTCACTGAGGTCCACTTCTTCCAGTCGGGGGTAAGGGGTGAGGTCGCCTGCCTGTACCCAACGAAGCCGGTTCTTGCTGAGGTCCAGGAGTCGTGTCTCTGTGGGGATGCCCTCTGGAATGTTGGTGAGACGTCTCCGCTGGCACGACACCGACCTGAGCTGAGCCGAGCACTCGCACCGAGGAGGGCACGCCAGGCTGCTCCCAGGGAGAGTCAGGGCAACTGTGGCTGCCAGCGACACTGCCAGAACCCACTGCCACAGACGCTGCCATGGCACTAAGGCACACCCACCAGGGCCAGGGGAGCCAATCATGGCCCTGGGCTGCTGACTCCTTGCCTGTACCAGGCAGGGTCAGTACACCACCCACCTGAAAGACACAGAGAACAAGAAAACAGGCCTGTCAAGTGTTGGCATGTCACTTTATTACAATGAAAAATAATTAGATTCAACTTAACAGCTGTGCTGAGTAATTGTATTATGTTAGGCATAGTAGCTTCTGATTATGTGACAATTATTATACAAATAAAATATACATTATTTTATGAACAAAAACAGGTCAAAAATTGTTAAAAGTGCTATTTTTAACAAAGAAAGACATTCCTCCAGTCCTCCTCACAAGATGAAATGAATCCTATCCCCACAGTTAGGAAGCCAGTCACTCTCCCACACACAGTCAAAGAGCACCAGGCACCAGATCTACCACAACTTCATGTCCACTAATCAGCCAAGTGTAGTGGACTTCTTATACAGGAAGAAAAACTTTGGAAATAAGAAAGTTTACTCAAAGAAACTTCAGCTGAATTGAAGGACTGCAATTAAGAGAAAATTTAACCACCAGGGAGGGAGTATCATGTTAAAATGCACTTAGTAGTTGGCAGCAGAGTCAAACAGATTAATAATGTATGCACTGATTTGTGCCTAATGGGCACAACATGAGTCAAGAGAGAACAACACAATGACCAATCACTAAGTTTGGACTATTTTTCTGTTTCCCCATAATCATTTTTACACTGTTATTTACCACAGATCCATGCTGTCCTAAAGCCCAGGAGACCATGTACAAGAGTCTGAGGAGACTCAGACTGGTAATTAGATTTATAATATTTAAAAGCTGTTTGCTGAGCCCATATGAGATGGATCTAGTTAAAAGTGTGCCATATTTTTGCTGGAGCGTGGCACAGAGCGACGGATGTGCCCACACTGACCCAGATCTCAGCACAGCTCACTCACACTGACAAACCAGCTACTCACCACCACAAGAAAGTACACTGTCTCCACTGAACGGAGCACAGAGGAACCAGGGGAAAACGGAACTAACTACAGAAATGTGTGGACACACAAAGAATGAAAAATGGAGCACAAGCTGATAATATTCAGTAACAAAGATTAGAAAAAACACAGTTGGTACATAAACACATCACTTCATATACTTGATACTAACTGCTTTTTAATAATTAGGCCTAAAATGTTTAAAGGTCAACTATGTAACTTTTCTGGTGGAGGGACTGCTACCTTACAATGTTCCACAGTATGTATTTGGAGATAAGCAGGCAAACAAGATATCTAAGACAAAGCAATGACCTGTTCATGAAGACAAGGAGGTAGAAGACCCACCTGAAAAGATACACTGTGCACCTTTAAAAAGAAAATGTACAGTGTTCAACCTCATGATTGGTCAGCAAATGAGCTGTTAGGGTAAGCCATAGAACTGGCTGTGGAGTTTGTGCCATAGACCATACCCCTTGACCCATGTCATGTCAAAAATTGAACTGGTTCTCAGAGTTCTCACTCAATAAACGGAGGGGACATGTTTGACCCTCTTTTACAAAGATTCATGGTAGGGTTGCCAACCATCCCTTGAAAAACATAATCATCTCGTATTCAGAAACAAATTACGCGTCCTGTATTGAGCGGAAAAGGGACGCAGTTTGTCCCGTATTACTGTGAGAATCAAAAATAGTGTGTAGTCAATGGAATGGCGCTTTATAAGAAATTTTACAATAAATGTATTCTCAGCCTCTCCTGCTCTATGACCAATGAGCTGACCACACACTCACATCCCGCTGATGATCTCTCTCATTGGTCAAGGTTGCTTGTGTTGTAAAGAAGATACCAGAAAACACCAAACTTTGATCCAGCATGGACGACAGTGTTCTGTCGAAATGGGCTGCCCCGTCGAAATGAACTACCTACAGCCTAAATTAGGTATTCTGCCTCACATCTAACACTCATGTGTCCATGCTTACATGCTTCACTGGTCAAAACATACAATAAAACCAATACACTTCTAAAATGTGACTTGTTACTCCACTTCTGCCTTGGGAGCTCAAATCAACTGCATTTAAACTGGAACAGCGCTTGGCGGGTGTGTGCATGTACAGTAGCGCTGTGTAGCTCAAATCGACAGGACACCGGCCCTGCCAATGAGGTGTCCCTTATTTATTTTTCAGGGAGTTGGCAATCCTAATTCCTGGTCTACTACTCTATCACCACAACTTGGTTCGCTACATTAGCTACCAATCATGTCAGATTTTTACATAAAATTTTAGCAGGAAATCATAAAACTGTAAAACCTACACTTTTTGTTACACTTGAGCCTATCACGTATAATTCTGCAGCTGATGTCAACATTCCCTGGGGGTGTGATGCTAACTGTAGCCTTTGCTTTGTCTGAAGCTCTGTTACTCAAGTCAGACTTAATTTGACCAGAAAGAGGTGACTTAGATGGAACTACATCAGCTGAGCTAATTTGTGCTTTTAAAATGTCTCTCACAAAGAAAATTAGGGACACACGCTAGCTAGCATTAGCCAACACCTTTTCAGTTAAAGTCACTCTAAGCTTTTTGTTTAAAATCAAACACCTAAACAGGACCATGAAAGTTTGTATTGATCACAGGCTCCTGAAAATATACTGTTTATATCAATTTTCTTTCTTTTTTTTTTTTCTTTCTTTTTTATTTTATTTTATCGAGTTTTCATACGATCTGAAAACTTTTTGGTAGTTGCTAATGTGGGCATTGTGTCAGCACAGTAACTAATGAAAGTTCTGCCATAAAAATACATAATACACTCCCAGCGTCTCAATAAAATATAAAAAAGAACAGATCTGAATACTAGAGTTTTATTTGAGTTAATAATAATAATAATAATAATAATAATAATAATAATAATAAAGCATATCTCTAGTGTCACTAATGATTGTTTGCCTGCTCAGTTGTGTGATGATGGATGTCTCCTGTCTAGCACTGGCCTCTCAGCATCCCACGGTTGAGTGCAGAGTCACAGCCTGAGTCACACTGGGTCGCCTCTGCTGCACTCAAGGACGAACGAGGACCCTCAAAACACACAGTCCATCAACACCCCCCCCCCCACCCCCACTCTCCCAGAGGACAGCATCATCCAGAGAGAGGCCAAATGAAGGTACTTTCAGGGTTCATCCCAATCAGTGGTGAACCATAAGAAAGTAAAAATAAGGTACTGTACTGAAGTTTTAATAAACAAAACAAAACAGCTTTCTGCACTTTACTTAAATAGATTTTAAAGTGGATACTTTTTACTTTTATTTTTTATTATCATGTAAGACCTGCTGAAAAGGCTAAGGAAATTCAACAAAAATATACAAATAAACACAGCCAGGAAAAAAAGCGATTGATTCAATTGTTTCTGTTGGACGAAATTCAGCATAAATTACAAAATCACTACAGCTGAAGTCCTATTAGACCTAAAAATCTGCGCAGAATACTTTTACTGTTTACTCTTATACAACAGGGACTTTACTACTTTTACTTTAGTAGATTTTTCATGTGATACTTTTATTTGAGTATTTTTCAGTAACTGTATTTTTACATAAGTAACACAATTAAGCACTTCTTTCACCACTGGTCGAAATGGATCTTGGTGGTGTTGTCTTGTTGTCTTAACACAAACACAGACACTAACACACATATTCATAATGGGACTCCTGAAAGACACCTGTAAATTATTATTGACCAGATGTTATGGCAGCAACACTTGCAAATTGCTTCCAGTGGCAAAAGAGCCAAAGTTTACAGGCAAACAGATGTCCAGGGAGACATGAGGAAGTACAATAGCAAAAAATGAGTCTTGTAGCTAAAAATAACCCCATTCTATGAAGCTGACCTGATGAATAGACAGATGTTGGGCAAACAAAAATTCCCCCAAGTCCCAGACACATCATTAGCAGATTCAACATCCCTTAACACTGATGACTGTGGCCAGATGTCTGCACCACAAGTACTTTCACCCAGTTTCAAGTATGTTTCTAAATGAAAACATGCGGTTGTGGCTCTGTATGCTGTAAATAGGTCATCTATAAACACTGGGAGTCTTTATGTTTGGCCAGTAGAGCGTGGATCTCATCAGAACTAGCATCCCTTTTGAGCACAAACTGGCACAATTTAGCAGCAGTGAGGCTGTCAGCAGGTTCAGTGCACATACCGGTAATTTATATAGCCCTGTTTATGAACAAAATGCTCTCCAGAACACTGCATGAAAACTTAAAGGTGCACAGTGCAACTTTTCTGGTGGAGGGTCCGCTACCTACTTGTCTCAGTGGTGATGTTATTGCTTTCCCTCAAATGTTCCATGGTATGACATTAAACATGTCTATCAAGCATTCATTCATTACGGGATGTTTCTGTTCTCTTCTGCTCAAAAATACCACAACATTCCTTCCAAGGGCGAAGGTCCACAGATCTGAATAGTAATGTACCATAGGACTGTAACCTGGTTGTCTCCACATGATAGGTTTAATCTATATTGCGGAACATTCTAGAAAAAGCAATAGCATTTCATGGGAGACCAGCAGGTGGTAGACCGTGCACTTTCACATTTTAACCACAGTAAAAACTAGAAATAAAATATGTAACAATAAAAAAAATTTAATTTAAACCACAGTGCAAATCTGACAGGACTGTACATTTCACAGTAAGGTTGACAGTTTGTACTTGCCATTGCTAAGTACCTATGAATCCTAGATTAAATATGTGCTTAGTCACTGTAGCTTAGTGCATCCTCTCTGAGCTGCCCCAGGGAGGTTGTAGATGGGAAAGGCTAGCATCAGCAGTGAAAGATGACGTACACAACAGCAATATAGAGGTTACAATGCCTGCAGTATAGATGTCCAGTCAACTAACCTGGCATCATATTCTGTTGTATGTATTGTAATGAATGAACTGTATTTTGAGCAGAAGATGGTTGTTGCGACACTGGGTAAAAAACGTAAACAATTTTGCTCACTCCAGTAACAGTTAACATGTGGCAGAAAGGGCATCTGGTAGAACAATCTATAG